TGATGATGCCTAAGGAGGCTTCAGAGGAACAAGAGTTCCTCTCCACCTCCATCCTCTCTGCATAGCGGCTGCCGTAACAGTGCCACCAGTGGAGAGAGGCTGAAATAAACCTGCCTACAAGTGTCCTTTGCATACATAATGTGTGCTGAAAGGTGTCCCTCTGTATCCATTTAGAAAGTTGGGAGGTATGCTTCAGCTATAAGCTACCACACAAACAAGCCACATGAATTCATTTTATATAGTGTTGCTGTTTTTCACTAAGTACAGGCATTTCTATTTTTTTTAACTTGTAACTGCAGAGTCAATTGTACATTGCTGTGAGAAATCCTTTCCATTTATGTGACTGTATGTAACCATTCATGCTTTTGAGATAAGGACAGACCATCTTATCAAGCCAAGAAATGTGATTCAGTTCCTTGCTGGCTCTCTGACAATACATATGGAACTATTACTCATTGGCTGGAAATCCTTTTGAGCCTAGTACTATAATTCATCACTTAGAGATTAACAAAGAGCACAAGAAAATATTTATTTACGGTACTAACATTATAGAAAAAAAAACACATTTTCACAACTCATGATAACTCACACATCTGACTTGTTTTCAAAGCAGAATTCTACCTAGAATTAATTTCTACATTTCTCTGCATTTTGGATAGAAAGAGGCAGAATAGGATTCCTTGTTGCAGACCCAGGCACGGAGATCTTCTACAATAGCCACCGTATTTAGTTTCACTAGCCCACTAGTGGATTCTCCATAGGATTTAACCACTTGCTTTCCAGAAGATTTACCCCTCTTCCCTGACCAGGCCATTTTTTGTGATATGATGTTGCGTTACTTTAACTGACAATTGCGCGGTCATGCAATGCTGCACCCAAATGAAATTTATTTCTCACAAATAAAGATTTCTTCTGGTGGAATGTGATCACCTCTGCATTATTTTTATTTTTTACACTATAAACTCTTTTTTACTTTTTGCTATAAAACATATCCAATCAAAAAATTAAAAAATACAATTTCTTCATAAATTTAGGTCAAAATGTATTCTACTATATGTCTTTGTTAAAACCAAACCCCAATAACTGTATATTAATTGGTTTACGTGAAAATTATAGCATCTATGAATAGTGTTATATATACTGGAATTTTTATTATATTAGTAATGGCGGCAATCAGCGACTTATAGTAGGACTGCAGTGGGCATTCTGACACTAGGTGGGAACTGACTAACTGCCACTGACATCTCCAGTGACACTAATACAGTGATCAGTGCTAATAAAAAGCATTGACACTGTGCTAATGACTTTGGGCAGGAAGGGGTTAACATCTGGGGTGATCAAGGGGTTAACAGTGTGCTGTGTGTGTTTTACTGTGTGTTGTGTGCTGTTTTACTTGGGAGACATGCTGCTTTGTATCTCTCTGCTGTGCAGAGAGATACAAAGCAGCATGTCCATGCTGTCAGGAGAGAGATCTATGTTGTTTACACATAGATCTCTCCCCTCTCAGCCCTGCCGACGATCACCAGGAGCCAGTGATTGACATATCCAGCAGCCAACAGAGGCGTGGGTAGAGGCGCACTCGCACCCACTACCCAGGAATGCAAAATTCCGTATATATAGCGGAGCCTCCCTGTAGCAGTATATCTGCTACTATGGGATGGCTCTTAAGTGGACATGTCTCCAGTGAAAACAACCATGACATTCAGGTCACAGTTCTGACTGCCACTGTAGGATGTGATGAGATACACAGTCAGCAATAAAGTCCTGACAGGGGACCAGTCTAGACTTCTAATATAACCATACATATTAAGTTTTCATGCCTGTCATAAGCAGCCTTTTCCATTTGGTCAGATGCATGCAATCCAATGCAAAGCTCAGAGTTTGAAGAGAAAAGGCTGTGTTTGACCTGCTTTGCCTGCAGTTCTGATGCACTTTGACAGGACATACTGCACCCAAAGAAATGCAACACAAAGTAGGTAAATTGCCATCTACACTACTCCATTGGAGTTAATGAGATTCTGCTGGCCTGCATTTGATGTGCTTTTCAAGAGCACATCAAACACAGGAAAACTATATATATCTGCCTAGACGAGTTTTAAATATATGTCTCCTAGTAAGATCCAATGACTGTGATTGAGTACAAGTTGAAATTTCTAACTCCCTGTGATACAAGTTGCCTAATAGGAAGCTAGTACACTTGTTTATTAGGTGGTTCCTGTTGAAGCGCCAAAATGTGATGTAAAATCGATCCAATGGAGAAATGACAAAACACCTGTCATGTTTTTATTGCTGCCTTTCAAATCCATTTAACCTAAATCTTGTATTAGTGTCACAGGAACAGTGAATGAGGGAAATCTCCCCAATGGGGTCAGAGATCAGAGATAAAAAAAAAACTCCCGAACTCTGTCTAAACTGATTAAACACATTTTGGTGTGAATTGTGTTTTAACCATTAATCATTAATGTTAAAGGGAAAGTACAGTGGTTTTGTGCATATTTTGTATCATTATTTATTATGATCAGGACTAAAAAATACAAATTTAAGAAATGTTTTGTTAGGTAAAAATTGAATACTGCGTATAAATATTTGTATTATCATATCCAGCCAGCAGGTGGGGCTTATTTTCACATGCTTTCCAGTTCCAATGACAAAACACCTGTCATGTTTTTATTGCTGCCTTTCAAATCCATTTAACCTAAATCTTGTATTAGTGTCATAGGAACAGTGAATGAGGGAAATCTCCCCAATGGGGTCAGAGATCAGAGATAAAAAAAAAAAACTCCCGAACTCTGTCTAAACTGATTAAACACATTTTGGTGTGAATTGTGTTTTAACCATTAATCATTAATGTTAAAGGGAACGTACAGTGGTTTTGTGCATATTTTGTATGTTTATTTATTATGATCAGGACTAAAAAATACAAATTTAAGAAATGTTTTGTTAGGAAAAAATGAATACTGCACATAAATATTTGTATTATCATATCCAGCCAGCAGGTGGAGCTTGCTGCTTACTTTCACATGCTTTCCAGTTCCTCCTTTCTGCAGAACCAGAGCAGTGACATTTCTTCTCCCTCCTGCCATAGTTCTCCATTAGAGGTTTGAATGAGAGACAGTGGGGTTGATATACTAAAAACGGAGAGTGCAACATTTGGTGCAGTTCTGCATAGAAACCAATAAACTTCCAATTTTTGTCAAAGCTTAATTGTAAAAGCTGAAGATAGAAGCTGATTGGCTACCATGCACAGCTGCAGCAGATTTTGCACTTTCCAGTTTTAGTAAATCAACCCCAGTCTTGCTAAAAGGAGATAACTACTGTGTTGTCATGCTCTGGGAAGCCTTTGCAAAAAAAAAAAAAAAAAGAATTAAAAAAAAAAAACAAAAAACCTATAAAATAAAAAGAATCAAATGAGTGAAAACTACTGTTTCATTTTAAAGAAACGTAGAAACTCTACTGCTTAGCGACCCAAGACCCTTGCTGTTTATTGCTCTTTCAAACAATATTTTTTATTGTGTTGCAATACATTTAGTACTTACTTTACATTATGTTCATTTGGGGCTTTGAGGTACTGTCCTACTACTGGTAACATATATTACTTTGCAGTGAGTAGCTTAAACATTTCATAACTGATGACTGATAGGGATATCAGAACAAGCTGCCATGTACTGATAGTACTTTATACATTCACTTTGCAGTTACAAAATTGTCTACTATTGTATCTTTAAGAGACTGTAATATGCTCCCCAAAAACAAAAATGTAATATATTGCAGCTTTCCAATATTTATGTGTAGTGGCTGCATTAGTTTTTTTATTTTTAGGATTTTTTTTGTTTCTTTATTTCACCTGGTGATCAAGCCAGTCTTATGGCTTGCTCACACGTGAGGTTTGGGGCAATAAAACCCCCCTGGTTGAGCCACGCTTTTACTAACCTTAACCGCTACTCTCTTTAGCTACAGCTAATGCGGCAAACAAACAGGGTAAAACAGAAGGTGAGGAGGTGATACAACACCGCTCCCACTGTCAAATGCTCTCTGAAGAATGTTTGGAACCTTAGGATGTCTGCATTCTGGATAAAGTTGTAAAGCAGACAACTTGGGATGGCACCATTGTCAGTCTGGGGAGAGTGTAGCGTTAGACTAGCAGATTTATATGGACTTGACTAACAAATTGAAGCTGAGCTCCAGTTAACACTTTTGCATAGCGTACTAAGAGCTGACTATTGTAATCATCCCTGTCGGGCATTAAATGGTTTGCCTCAAAACCCTCTAACTGCTACTATGTCTGGACAGCTTGATCTGTTAAAGCAGAAGTAAAACCCAAACCAAAAATGTATTGTATTGCAGCTTACCATTCATTAGATGTGGTGACTGCATCCGTTTTCTTATCTTTGGCTTTTTTTCCCTCTGTTTTCATTTGGTGATCTGGCCAGTAAAACATCTCCTGTGTAGCACTACCACCGCAGGGGCCGCTTGACAATGCTTGTCCCCAGTGGTTGCCCTGACGTTGCAAGCCTCCCAACAATTCTTAGTAACACCTCAGTATTAGTCTTGTTCAAAAGAGTAGACCACAAGACAAATGGGTTTACGATTATACGATTCCTGAAAACCTTTTTCTTTAAAGAGGCCTATCCTGCTTCTAACTTTTGTATCACTCAACCCTCCCTCTTAAATTGTAAGCTCTAACAAGCAAGGCCCTCTGTTTCCTATTGTATCAAATTGTATTGTAACTGTAATGTCTACCTTCATTTTGTAAAGAGCTGCACAAACTGTTGGTGCTATAAAAATTCTGTATAATAATAAATACCCCAGTTAACACATAAAAATAGAACACAGATAAAATAGGATTAATCAATGAGCAATGTTTAACAAATTATACAGTCATGAGTAGTAAGCTTTAAAAATTAAACTGCAATACCAGCAGTAAAAAGGGGAAGAAAAAGCTTGTTGACTTATCAGCTCTCTCTAGGCTGCCTATGCTGCAGTGGTGGATGCAGAGAATTATTTAAAAGTATACTCCGACATAATTAGATATACCGTATTTTTCGCATAAGACGCACCTAGGTTTTAGAGGCAGAAAACAAGATAAAAAAATATTCTGAACCAATGGACATAGTACAGGAGATGACCAGAGACTGCAGACATAGTACAGGAGATGGCCAGAGACTGCGGACACAGTGACAGGACTGCGGACATAGTACAGGAGATGGCCAGAGACTGCGGACACGGACACAGTACAGGAGTACAGACCAGACCAGAGACTGCAAACACAGTACAGGAGATGACCAGAGACTACGGACACGGTACAGGGGATGACCAGAGACTGCGGACACAGTACAGGAGATGACCAGAGACTGCGGACACAGTACAAGAGATGCGGACTATGGACAGTACAGGAGATGACACAGTACAGGAGATGACCAGAGACTACGGACACGGTACAGGGGATGACCAGAGACTGCGGACACGTACAGGAGATGACCAGAGACAGTGGACCGTACAGAAGATGACCAGAGACTGCGGACAGTACAGGGGATGACCAGAGACTGCGGACAGTATAGGGGATGACCAAGACACTGCAGACAGTATAGGGGATGACCAAGACACTGCAGACAGTATAGGGGATGACCAAGACACTGCGGACATAGTACAGGGAATGACCAGAGACTGCGGACAGTACAAGAGATGACCAGAGACTGCGGACAGTACAGGAGATGACCAGAGACTGCGGACAGTACAGGAGATGACCAGAGACTGCGGACAGTGCAGGGGATGACCAGAGACTGCGGACAGTGCAGGGAGATGACCAGAGACTGCGGACAGTGCAGGAGATGACCAGAGACTGCGGACAGTGCAGGGGATGACCAAGAGACTGCGGACAGTGCAGGGGATGACCAGAGACTGCGGACAGTGCAGGGGATGACCAGAGACTGCGGACAGTGCAGGGGATGACCAGAGACTGCTGACAGTGCAGGGGATGACCAGAGACTGCGGACAGTGCAGGGGATGACCAGAGACTGCGGACAGTGCAGGGCATGACCACAGACTGCGGACAGTGCAGGGGATGACCAGAGACTGCGGACAGTGCAGGGGATGACCACAGACTGCGGACAGTGCAGGAGATGACCAGAGACTGCGGACACAGTACAGGGGATGACCAGAGACTGCGGATACACAGTACAGGAGATGACCAGAGACTGCGGACACGGTACAGGAGATGACCAGAGACTACGGACACGGTACAGGGGATGACCAGAGACTGCGGACACGGTACAGGAGATGACCAGAGACTGCGGACACGGTACAGGAGATGGCCAGAGACTGCGGACACGGTACAGGAGATGACCAGAGACTGCGGACACAGTACAGGGATGACCAGAGACTGCGGACACGGTACAGGAGATGACCAGAGACTGCGGACACGGTACAGGGGATGACCAGAGACTGCGGATACAGTACAGGAGGATGACCAGAGACAGTGGACCGTACAGGGATGACCAGAGACTGCGGACAGTATAGGGGATGACCAAGACACTGCAGACAGTATAGGGGATGACCAAGACACTGCAGACAGTATACAGGGATGACCAAGACACTGCGGACATAGTACAGGAGATGACCAGAGACTGCAGGACAGTACAAGAGATGACCAGAGACTGCGGACAGTACAGGAGATGACCAGAGACTGCGGACAGTGCACAGTGCAGGGGACCAGATGACCAGAGACTGCGGACAGTGCAGGGGATGACCAAGAGACTGCGGACAGTGCAGGGGATGACCAGAGACTGCGGACAGTGCAGGGGATGACCAGAGACTGCGGACAGTGCAGGGGATGACCAGACTGCGGACAGTGCAGGGGATGACCACAGACTGCGGACACAGTGCAGGGGATGACCAGAGACTGCGGACAGTACAGGAGATGACCAGAGACTGCGGACACGGTACAGGAGATGACCAGAGACTGCGGACACGTACAGGGGATGACCAGAGACTGCGGACACAGTACAGGAGATGACCAGAGACTGCGGACACGGTACAGGAGATGACCAGAGACTGCGGACACGGTACAGGAGATGACCAGAGACTGCGGACACAGTACAGGAGATGACCAGAGACTGCGGACACGGTACAGGAGGACACTGCGGACACGGTACAGGAGATGACCAGAGAGACTGCGGACACGGTACAGGGGATGACCAGAGACTGCAGATACAGTACAGGAGATGACCAGAGACAGTGGACCGTACAGAAGATGACCAGAGACTGCGGACAGTACAGGGGATGACCAGAGACTGCGGACAGTATAGGGGATGACCAAGACACTGCAGACAGTATAGGGGATGACCAAGACACTGCAGACAGTATAGGGGATGACCAAGACACTGCGGACATAGTACAGGGAATGACCAGAGACTGCAGACAGTACAAGAGATGACCAGAGACTGCGGACAGTACAGGAGATGACCAGAGACTGCGGACAGTACAGGAGATGACCAGAGACTGCGGACAGTGCAGGGGATGACCAGAGACTGCGGACAGTGCAGGGGATGACCAAGAGACTGCGGACAGTGCAGGAGATGACCAGAGACTGCGGACAGTGCAGGGGATGACCAAGAGACTGCGGACAGTGCAGGGGATGACCATGAGACTGCGGACAGTGCAGGGGATGACCAGAGACTGCGGACAGTGCAGGAGACTGATGACCAGGAGACTGCGGACAGTGCAGGAGATGACCAGAGACTGCGGACAGTACAGGAGATGACCAGAGACTGCGGACATAGTACAGGAGATGACTGCGGACCTTTGGGGATGGAGGGGGAGCAGGTACCTGAATTTGACAGGTACCCGCTCCCACTTCCGCGGAGTTGTCCTCCCTTTAGTGTGGGCACCCGGCTGACCTGTCATGTGTCCCAGAAGACGCCGTACCATTCACAAAGTGCAGAGCTACTCACGCATGCCCACTGGGCACCCCAGCTGTCAAGCCGAAAGCCCACACTAAAGAAGCCAGTGCGGGAAGACTGCGCAGCAATGGACCGAGGAACAGGTAAGGTCCCGCTGCAGAGCTGAGCGGCTGGCCCGGTATTCTGATACGGCAGTGGTGGAAATACCGGACCGGCTGCTCCATATTCGCTCCATAAGACGCACTTACATTTTCCCCCCTTTTTTGAGGGGAAAAAAGTGCGTCTTATGGAGCAAAAAATACGGTAAGTATTTGAATAGTTTGAATAACAAAGGCCTTAGAAGAGAGGCAGTCCCTTTAAGCAGAGATTGCAACTTGAGTCCTGTGATGTGTAAAGTTCCTGATATGGTGGTGTCCGTTGCCTTCTGCTAGCCATGGTGGGGCCCATAAACAGTAGTGACTACTGGTAATTCAATGAAGTTAAACAGTGATACTGCTGTTGATTCTGAGGTGTAAAGGTGTCTGCATGCAGTGTCGCTAGAGTGATGACAGAAAGAGGTTGGGCATCTGCCCGCTCACCAATCCCAAGGTTAGCACGTTCTCTCAGAAACAAGAGTTCTTGCACAGGCTCTTGGCTGTTTGCAAGGATGTGAAGAGTTTCTGCCTGTCAGCACAGCGAGCAAAGATGTCTGAGTGAGGACTGGATAGTGACAGTACAGAAAAGCTGTGATCCCAGTGTGGCGATTGGCATGACCGCTGTGCTGAACTGATGATGTGCAGTCCCACAGTAGTAAGCCAAAACTCTGTCTCTGGAGGAGAACAAAAGTCCCTTAGTGTTGCCTATCAGTGCCCATCAGTACCACTTCATCAGTGCCCATTGGTGCCACCTTATCAGTGTCCATCAGTGCTGCCTCATCAGTGCCCATCAGTGCAGCCTATTAGCACACATCAGTGAAGGAGAAAAATTACTTATTTGCAAAATTTTACAACAGAACCAAAGAAAAAGGGTTTTTTTTCAGTCTTTTTTCATTCGTTTGGCAAAAAATAAAAAATCTCAGTGGTGATTAAATACCACTAAAAGAAAGCTCTGTCTCAAAAAAATGATAAAAATGTAATATGGATACTGTTCTGTCTCTCCAATCTAAGCATAGATAGTGTGATCTCTGTAACTTACAGTTGTGATGCGATAGCGATAACTTCAACCTCAGTTGGATACCACAGTCAGTGACTCAATCGATAAGACATCTTGTAGATCTTGTGAAGTATATTCCATAAACTGAGAGAATCTTACAACAATGAACATTCGATAGGTCAAAAGATCATATTGTTTCCTGCTCCATGACATGAGGCTAGAGCTGCAATGCATTTCTGGGAAAGGGGGAGGGCTATCTATACAGCATTAACTAAACCAAAGGAAAGGGAGAAGCAGAAACAAAATATAGAAACACTTAAAGGCATATGACAGTCAATATGACAGTCATGTGAAATATGACAGATACAGTGTTGCATGACCACGCAACTTGTCATTCAAATTGTGACAGTGCTGAAAGATGAAAATTGGCCTGGTCAGGAAGAGGGCAAAAGTGCCCGGTAGGCAAGTGGTTAAAGTAAGTTCGAAAATAACAGGCGGACTGGCAGGGTTCCTATGTGAAAATAAAGGGGGAAAAAGCCTAAGGAATAAGAATAGGTAAGTTGCAATTTAATACATTTTTGTTTTTTGTTTAATATTGTGAACTTGTCTTTTAACTACTTACCATCTTATATACCTACCTTCCTCTCTCCATTCCAGAAGCCTTCACTGTATGGCCCTGTCTGTCACTGCAACGCCTTTCTTCCACAAATGTTCCCACTGGGTCCTTGCTGTTTAATGTGGAACTAAACTGCAATGATTTTGCACAGAGCAGCCCTGATCCTCCTCTTCTTGGGTTCCCCACCGGCTCTCCTGGCTTCTCTTCTTCTCCATGCTCCCATGGCAAGCCGCTTGCTCTAGGGGCACTCATGCATGCTTGCTTCCAAGCCCCGTTCTGTGTGTCGGGCCTGCCCCTTCCTCACCGGCTGTGATTGACAGTAGTGGGAGCCCTTCACATCATATTGCCCCTTTACAGCACTGTCCTCGGTCCTGCTTCACATCACAACCCCCCCACCCCCCCCCCCCCACACACACTCACACACACACTTCACAGCATTATCCCCAGCCTCCCTTTACATCACAGTCCCCTTTCACAGCATTTTCCTTAGTCCATCATTACATCACACCCTCTCCAGCTTCACAGCATTGTCCTTGATCCCCCTTCACATCATACCCCATCTTCACAGCATTGTACTCATTCTCCCTTCACATCACACCCCCCCACCTTCACAGCACTGTTCTTAGTCCCCCTTTATATCACATTCTCCCTTCAGGAAAGGCTGTTTTTCAATATGTTAGGGACAAGATTTCCATTGAGGATCCAAGCATACTGATCATAGGGTTGGCAGGTCAACTGCAGACTCGTCTGCCAAGTTTTGGTGTCATTCCAAAACTACTTGCTTAGCCCTCTGCAGATTTCTCCAATGCTCTTGCATCCACTCATTACGTGTTCTATTGGATGCAGGCTCATGTGTATCCAGCAGCAAGTCCATAGGTACTCATCCACTCCATCTAAACATCAAAAAGAAAGGCATGTACCCTGTAGCTTTATGTACTGTGTGGTTATAGGCTTAAACCACTTTATCTACACACTGTGGCCAACATTCCCTGTGCCCCTGCTCCAGTGTACAAAGCATACCAAGTAGTGTTTGGCTGACACGCTCAACTTACTCTGTTTCCAAGAGCAGTCCATTGAGGAGCCACTATCTGGCAAATATCTTGCTGTTCAGTAGGGATACAAGCCCTCCAGTGCATAACTCCATCCAGAACCTCTATGCAATCCCATTGTCGAATCAGATGTCACACAGAGCCAAGAGTCGGACTCGTTCCCAAAAGGTTGGCTTCCTATTCTGAGAAACAAGTGTAGCGCCCCTCTAGATAGCCAGGGGGAGCTAGATTTTAATTTTTAGTAAGGATGGCAGCCAGGAGTAATAGTTGGGTAAATTGAAGTCAGGGTTGAGAGGCTCTTCAGGTCAGTTCCCTGATACCTTCCCCTGCTCTAGAGATCTTGGAGAAGATTCTAGAAATAGTGGGGGAGGGTAAGGAAGGGTTACCTGCACACTTAGGGGACCCTGGCCAATTCCCAAGCAGGAGGCTTGGCATGGGGCCAGGGCAGCCCTTAAATGTGAGAAAGCCTGCTCAGCAGCAGCAGAGTTTGGATGGAAGATGAATTGAGAGGCTGGAGAGCAGGGGCCTGGGAAGGGGACCAAATGGGAAGGAGGAAAGCTCAGGAACTCATCAGCCCCCAGAACAAGGACCATCTGTGCATTAGGGAAGGAGTGGTCTGAGAGCAGCCACTGACCCATCAGCTCACAGAAGACTGAGTATACCTACACCCCCCCCTGAGCCAGAAAGGGGAAGGAGCACTCTAG